CAGTATGTTTCCGACGTGTTAATGGGCACTGTGTACTTGAGTTACCCGAGCCCCGAGGCTGAATAAGATATAACACCGGAGGCGGAGCTTTACTGTGTCACTACCCTGAAGAAGCCTGCGACATGACAGGCGAAACGTCGGCCTATCTGCCAACGACGCGGCGTCACTCGGACAGCCTAGAAGCCATGAACTCGAGCCGCGGAAGCCTACGTGTGTGTGTTTATGGGCAGGCTGTCCGGGTATTCGTGAAGCGATTACGCATAGGGACGGCTCCGAATTGTTTTGTAAACATTCGAAAAGCGTTGAAAGAAGAGACTATTATTTAGGGTTAAGAAATTTAAGATGGGTCAAGTTAGTATTAGAAGTCCTAAACGATGAAAGAGTAAACATCTACTTGGACAAAGTATAAAAAAAAGACCCTGCGTACAAAAACTGTACGAAAAACAGAAACAGTCCACCCGGGGCTGGGGACCTCCCCCGCCAATTGTTATGTGATGACCAATGATGAATTCCATCTTTGCAATCTAATGAAGGATTTTCCTGTTGTCAAGGTATTCACTAACATCCAATGGTATTTAATTTCTTTGCTGGTACCTCAGGGCTTCAACAGATAGCTCAAGGCATGAACTGATTGCACTGCTGTACCTCTGCTCCGGTGGTACATCCGTCTGTGGTCGATTTTCGACACCAGTCATATAGATTTGTCCAATTCAGCCACTGGTTGGAGGAGAATTCTCTCAGACGGCTGTTCTTTTCGATCGTTTTCTGTGATTGCTCCGAACTACATAAGGCGAATGCCGTAGTGGAACCGGTGTAGGTTTTGGTCCTTGAGCGATCTACTCTTTTCACTCTCTACTCTAAAAACTGCCATCTTCCGAGATACAATATCTTCTACATCTGTAAATCCAAAGACCTTAGCAGATGTCGCTCTCGGAAAAACCTATCAATCAATCAATTCCTTCGTAAGTAGTATAATATTATTTATTAAGATTTTCACCTACTTCCTCCCGTCGCTGTGGATTCTCATTCACGACTTGGTCCCACGCACGAGGGGCCTTGGGGCGATGAATGGCCCCGGTCGCTTATTAGCACGATGCGTGGCCTCGGCGCACACCGGCCCTCCCCGGCGCCAGACGCCGCCGTCCGCGACGTCCACACCGCTCGGCGCGCCTCCACCGTCGCCGCCACCGCCCCGCGCCGCCGCCCGCGCCCGCCGGCGCCGCCCGCCGCCGCCGGCCGCCGTCCACCGCCGCCGCGCCGCCGCCGCCGCCCGCCGCCGCCGCCGCCGCCGCCGCCGCCGCCGCCGCCGCCCCGCCGCCGCCGCCGCCACCGCCCACCGCACCGCCACCGCCACCGCCACCGCCACCGCCACCACCGCGGCCGCCGCCGCCACCACCGCTCCCCGCCCGCCGTTCCACCGCCCCCAACCGCCGCTGCCACTGCCCGCCGCCGCCACTGTCCGCCGCCGGCGCCACCCGCCGCCGTCGCGGCGCACCTCTCCACATCGCCCACGCTGTGTGAAATTTACGTTTGTAATGTAGAAGACGTTCATTTGTACCAGTTCGGAAATGAGGCAGGCTGTTCACTAAAATAACACTGGAGTACAAAGAAGCAAAGCTTCGAAGACTAAAAAGAATTTATTCGAAATTTCAAAAGAAGTAATGCGTGAATGTTCATAAGGATTGTTGGTTCCTTGTATAAAGAAGATGGAGAAGGAGAATGTTGCTGCCAGTAATATACATTTGAGAGAAATGAGTTATCTTACATCCATCGGGCTTTATTTCATAAACGCTTTCATTCAGGCTTTGTTCTTCTATTATGAGTATAGCCTGTGAATGTACATTCTCTATTTAAAATAATATATATTATTATATATAGAATTATATATCTTAATTTCGGAAGTAACTTTATCTGTTTTTGAATGGATATTTTAAAAATACAAATGAATGATTTCTGAATATCTACTCTGATCAGCCGTAAGATCTTAACATGTTTAATGTGAACTTAACCGAATTATCTGTCTAGTATTTTTAAAACTCGGTAACTTTTTAAACCTTTCTCAAATTAAAATATTACGAAGAAACTGTTTAAATGAACATTGACATAAAATTATAGCTTCTACCTGATAAGGTTATGACTTCAGACCGGCGTATTGTTGAAATTTTATATCTTATAAAATGAATATTATTATGTAGTTCCTTTACCATAGACATATTTTAAATAGTTTGTTGTAAAGCGAAGAATAAACACCCATAAAACCTTGCTGACGTGCATTTCACAAGCGAAAAAGTAAACTATAATTTTTCAAATTAAACTTGCAAGGACCCGGGCGTTACTTTTCCACTGCCACAACATTCCTAGTTGCTTCTCCCTTGTAAGCAAGCTGCTTATGAAAATGACCGTAATAAAAGCTGCGGTGATGTCTGCGATGATAATGGCCGCGCACACTCTCCCATGACCGACGGTACTCCGCAGCGCGCGCGCTCTCGCGCCGTCGCGACGCCCGGCCACGCGTCGGGCGCCGCGCCGGAGAGCGCGTACTCAAGTGCCGGGGGGAGGGGAGGGGGGAGGGGCGGTATGAATGAACGCGCGCGGGTGAACGGCCTTGCGCTCGGCGTGAACGCATGAATGGCTGGTGCCCGGCGCGGCTCTGGGCGGGCGGGACGCGACGGTTGAAGTGGATGGAGCTGGTGATGGTGGTGATGGACAGGGTAACGGAGGTGAGAAGAGAGTGCTGATGGTACTTCTGTTGGTGATGGTGGTGGTGGTGGTGATGATGGTAGTCGTGGTTATTATTGGTTGTGTATGTAGTGATAGTTGGTGGTGGTAAGTGGTGATGGTTTGTGGCGACAATCTATACGTCGGCTTGTGAGGGATTTTCCCCTCCTGATATCTGCCCCCAGGAGGGCACACCGTTCCAACCGGGACACGCTCTAAGTTCGCAATTGGTATCCCTTTATATTTGGTAGTACAGTGCGTGTAAGTGTAAGTGTGTGTAGGTAAAGGGTGAAACAGGACGAGGAAGAGGAAGCAAAGATCGCGCGCGGCCCGTGGCCCGTTTGCTAGGGAACTGCTCCGGCATTCATTTGGTGCTAATCGGAGAAACCACGGAATACTACCAATAAGAGCAGATGGCCGATAGAATTCTCCTCCAGACATCGGTTGAACTCGGTAACTGCAAAGCTAATGACGAAAATGCGCCATCAACGGGAGTCGAACCCTAGGACCTCCGGGACAGACTCGCTGCAGAGAAGCGGCAAGGTTTGCTCTGAGATAAATTCAACCGGTGTGATGGTTTGAGGTGGTATGATTGGAGTTGGATGGGTAGAGATGGATAGTTCGTGGAGGCGCGCGAGGACAAGTTTGGGAAAACGGTAGAGGCGCTGGTGCTGAAAGCAGCGCCGGAGGTAACGGAGGAGTAGACGGCGGAGACGGACTCAGCCAAGGAGACGGAAAAGATGAAAACGGCGGCGAAGGCGGCGCTGGCGGGAGCGGAGAAGGCAGACACGGCGGAGTTGCCAGAGGCAGCTCCGAGGGACCATTTATCTAATTCCAGACTGATTGCGTATCGACAAATTGTGGGAAAGTTTGAGATCAACATTTGGTCCATATTTACCGATTCATTATCGTCATCATATCCGTCATCATTTAATCATTTGTATATCATTCTAGTTTGAAACTGTATGTTACTTTTCAAGTAAAATAGATAGGGAATAGTATTTGCAAATTTTACCGTCAGAGATGTGTTTGATCGTTCACATTGCTGTATTTTCTTATTACATAGTTAATTCCAACTACCATCGAATCTTTATTGCGAGTCTGGATATTATTGTTCATCTTCTCTACACAAGGGTTTCTTTCCTTTAAATTTATATTTCCGCCAACCTTCCTTTCCTCATATTTTACGTACGAAATTGTTTTACTCCTGCATCATTTATCGATCGTTGGCACCATCTGCCCTCCTTGTTATCGCCCTCATTTTACGTTCCTACAATTAATTTTTGAGTGTATTAACATCTATATGTCATGTGTAATGGACTAAGAATTAGTTTTCAAGTGTTTCTCATTTGGTTGTGACGAACATCACTTTTCCTGCTTTATAATTATTACATATTATGCTGTGTTTTGTCATATGTGAATATGTGGCATATTTCATAGCAGTTTCATATGTATGTATATGTTGTTGTTGTTATTATTATTATTATTATTATTATTATTATTATTATTATTATTATTATTCAAGTCTCTCGCTTAGCGAGGTGTCCTACAGCAGACACCGGGACCTTCGGAGAACCAAGGTGCCTGCTTCGCTTGCAAACTCGGGCGGTCAGAATTCAACGTGAAGTTATATCAATAAGACTTCCGCGCGATACATGCAGTACTCAGCAAAACACAGCCTTTTGCATTGACTGGATGGGCCAGTTGTTAACGCCAAGCCTTGCAGACGATTAAATTAGTTCTTCAGAGACAGTCATTTGCAGAAATGACCACAGGGACTTCTTGAATAGTTACTAACCGCCACATGTCACACAGTTCAATAGCCAAGGCCTGATATTTTTGCCTCTTCTTTGGAATAGAGGCAACTATATTTCGGTCTATTATTATTATTATTATTATTATTATTATTATTATTATTATTATTATTATTATTATTACATTTTCATCAAGAGCTATTATCAGTATTATGCAGCCACCTGCTCGTAAGTACTCGCGCACCGCCACACGCGCCTCCGTTGAGGCGCCAACCGCGCGGCGCCCTCCTCCGTCTGCCCGGCCACTTGTCACCTCGGGAGCGCCGGGCGCCGCGCCGCTCCTCCTCCTCCTCCTCCTCTCCTCCTCGTGGCGGCGCCGGAGGTCGCGCGCCCGGCGGCGAATTATCGTTCTAATTGCGTGCTAATTGGCGCCGCGCAAGGTCGTCGCCGCCGCCGCCGCCGCGCCGCTCTGGGAACGGCGCTGCGCGGCCCGGCCCAGCACTGGTGGGCGCGCTCACTCGCCGAAAAATGGGCCAAAAGCGCGTTTCCCTGCACACTGTCGAAAGTAACATGATAGTTAATGTAGATTAATGTATTATTGTACATGAAATTTAATGTACCTTGTACATTAAAGTATAATAATGTATTTACACATGGAATTCAATGCTTAAATCAAAATCAATTTATATTTAATGTAGAAGTTCTCCCGTTTTACCTGCCTCTCAACGTGCATGTCATGTACTATTCACAATTAGCAGTCCATCAAGATTATCTATCCGTCCATCCGTCCATGCATCCATCCATCCGCGCATGCATCGATCCATCCGCCCATCCATCCATTCATCCATCCATTCATTCGACCATCCGTTCATTCATTCATTCATTCATTCATTCATCCATTTCAAATATGGCCCAACAAGCTTTGATTATTACATCCTAATGAACATCTGAACATTAAAATTAATATGCGTTCATAATTAATTCTTTAATGTACATTTACATCAAAGTATTGCCGAAATTTTCGACAGTGTAATCGTTTGCAATGGCTGTAAAGAGTGCGAATGGTTGCTTCTTACATTCTCGTACGGAGATTTATGTTTCATTCACCAGAATATAAAAGTCTCCAGAATAATTTGGATATTCGAGGTGCCCAATAATGGAATCACCATCAACAACTCAGTTGGATATTTGAGATTCATATCTGGTACAATTCCTTCGAAATACTTCAAAATTCTATTACTTTGGAAGATTTGTGTACTTACGTCGTTTACTGACTATCTTCCTGGTCTTATTCAACAATGTAACTCCAGAAGCTCAAGAAGCGACAAATATGAACATCTTAGACAAATTATTTTCCTGTAAATGCAATTTGCAGTGCACTAACTTTCTTGTGTGCCTAGCGAACGGTACTGACAGGTCTATCGACTACACAGTTTTGGAACATACAGGAGTATGTTGCATTTTTAATACTGTGCCGTAAACAGTTTTTGTTATTTTCAGTCGTATTCCATTACGTTGGGCGGTGGAAACTTATTAACGTTGACGTAGTTTTGAGGATATTGAGCGTATGAAACGTCGCGACAACTACGGTCTCCCTGCTGGATGGCGAGATCCGGCGCTGAACTACCCGTCAGCTTGTGGGTTTTCCACGACCGGCTTTCTCCCACAAGCATGGGACCGCCCAACCCTGGACAATCTCTCAGCTCCCGACTGGTGTCCCAGAGTGTGGTAGTGTATTGCATGTAAGTGTAAGTGTCGGGTGAAGTAACGGGTGAGAAGAGGACAAGTAAGAGGAAGGAAATATCGCAGGCGGTCTTTGGCCCGTTTATTACGGAGCTGCTCCAACATTCGCCTGGTGTTGTTCGGGGAAACCACGGAAAACTACCGATCAGAGCTGTTGTCTTCTAGAATGCTCGGGTGTTGAAAATCCTTCTACCGTTGTGTCTAGAAACATTAGAACCTCCCGGTCAAAGTCACTGCATCAGTTGATGCCGAGAGCCACTTAAGCCGGTTTCTCCCTTAGAAGTGAAAGAAACGTCGATCGATAGTTCGACCCTTTGTGCGCCGTGGCGCCCGGCGTCTAGTTGCCCCGTCCCCTAGCATGCCCGCCCGCTTGCCCGCCCGCTTGCCCGCCCGCTTTGCCCGCCCGCTTGCCCGCTCGCTGCCCCCGCTTTGGGCCCGCTCCGCGCGCTGTGGCCGCGCGCTTGGCCGGCGCCTTGGCCCAAGCGCCGCTTGGCCCGGCGGCACCGCCCTTGGCCCGCCCGCTTGGCCCGCCCGACTTGGCCCGCCCGCTTGCCCGCCCTGCTTGCCCGCCCGCTGCCGCTCCGCTTGCCGCCCGCTTGGCCCGCGCGCTTGGCCGCCGTTGCCGCGCGCTTGGCGCCGCGCGCCTTGGCCCGGCGCGCCTTGACGCCGCTGCCCGCCCGCTTGCCCCCCGCTTGCCCGCCCCGCTTTGCCCGGCCCGCTTGCCCCCCCGCTTGCCCGCCCGCTTTGCCCGTCCCGCTTGCCGCCCCTGCCCCGCTTGCCCCGCTCCGCACCTTGCCCGCCCGCTTGCCCGCCCGCTTGCCCCGCTCGCTTGCCCCGCCCGCTTCCGCCCGCTCCCGCCTTGCCCCCCGTGCGCCGCTTGCCCCCCGGCTTGCGCCGCCCAGCCGCATGCCCGCCCGCATGCGCGTTGCCCGCGCTTGCCCGCCCGCTTGCCCGTCCCGCATTGCCGGCTCGCTGCCCGCCGCTTGCCCGCCCCCGCTTGCCCTGCCCGCTTGCCCGCCCGCTTGCCCGCCCGCTTGCCCGCCGCTTGCCCGCCCCGCTTAGCCCGCCCGCTTGCCCGCCCGACTGACCGCGCCGCTGTGCCGGCCCGCTTGCCCGCCCGTTGCCTGCCGCCCGTGCCCGCCTTGCAGTCCCAGTCACCCGCTTAGCCCCGCCCGCTTGCCCGCCGCCTAGCCCGCTTGCCCGGCCCGCTTGAGCACCGCCCGCTTGCCCGCCCAGCTTTGCCCGCCCGCTTGCCCGCCGCGGCTTTGCCCGCGCGCTTGCCCGCCCATTCGTCTGTTCACCCGCCTGTTGCTCGTTCGCCCGTTCGTCCATCTCGCCCGTTCGCAGTGCTGCCCCCTCGCAGCTTCTTAGCGCCGCCTCGCGAATGGGCGCCCTGCCCACCGCGTGATGGACGTGTGCGTGTTGGCCCAACTCTTTGGCTGGGAATCTTCGAGCAGATGCAGCATGCGTGCGAAGTTTGGAGCATACGTTTTAGTAATTAGGCAGTTTCGTTTGTTTGTTTTTTGCCGAATTTCAAATTTGCGTTTCCCGTCATCAATCGCGTTCAGTTTGGGAGTACGCTTAGGGATGTGCTTTAAATGCTGAATATTATGTGAAAAAGGAGCAAAACACTGGTAATAAAGAGATTGCATTTAAACTCTTTGATGGCTACTCTCATAATTTTAAAGTTGTCACAAATCATATTGTTATAAATTACCTATTATTGGTTTAAGTGTTTGGTTTTAATTCACTGTTTTTGTCACATATGCTTCAAATTACTTTTACAATTTACACAATTTTCATATAGCTGAAATCTACTTATAATAAAGTGATGCCTCTTATAAATTCATTGTCAAAATCGTAAATTGATTGTATAATTAACATGCTTGTTGCAAAACTCTATGAAGACAAGAAGAAAATATGGATGACATTATTATCACCCTTTTAGTGGAAATACCATTTCTCCCCGGAACGTACACTATGTAATCAAAAGTATCTGAACAGGTGGCTGAAAATGACTTATTAGTTCGTGGCTCCCTTCGTAATGCTGGATTTCAATAGGATGTTGGCCCACCCTTATCCTTGATGACAGCTTCCACTCATACTTTCAATCAGGTGCTGGAAGGTTTCTTTGGGAATGGCAGCCCATTCTTCACGGAGTGCTGCACTGAGAAGAGAGGTATCGATGTAGGTCGGTGAGGCCTGGCATGAAGACAGCGTTCCAAAGCATCCCAAAGGTGTTCGATAGGGTTCAGGTCAGAACTCTGTGCAGGGCAGTCCATTACAGGGTCCGATCAGGAACAACTTTATCATCAAAACTAATTATCTCAATCATGAATATTCAAAATAAATATAACATATTTGTAAATTTTCCGATATAATTACACGATTCTTTAAATAAATTATTGTTTAGTGCTGTATGTTAGTTTTGCCGATTTTTTTCTGTGCAAAGCATTCCAGTTCTCGGAACACTAATCGTCCGTCCAAATGAATCGCCTGTCCGTAGGAAATGAATTCGCCGACACCTGAGCTCGTGATTTACGAGCTTGTTTGGGAGACAGGGGTTGACTCGCGAGTTAACCTTTCAGCGTGTGCCCACTCTGTAATGGGCTTTTCTTTTTCGTTGTGTGTTGCAGCTCAGGGGACATTCTTGCAATTCCTCGTGAATGTCTGTCGAGTTTCTCGCAATGATGTGCGACACCGGTGCTTACGTGTTTTCAACGCGTCGTCCGTGGAAAAGCAAACAAGGTGGTGCGACGGACTTGCTGAAGATGTACCGGGTATGTCGCTGTAGCGTTTATGCACTTTCCTTGTAATCGTTATCCAGAAGCTCATGTTAAGATATTCTATGAAGTGGTCCGTTATGAGAATGAACATGAAATACTGACCAATCATGATGAGATGTATAATAAGCAATATTGTTATAGTACAAAATATGTCATGAAATTAATTGAAAATATTGACTTCGAATTATTTTTGATTGATCATCTTCACATTTGTATTTGTTCTTTACTACACTCCAAGTGCTAGTAATGGCTAGATACGAAAAGTCACATCGTTTTGGTCAGTGAGTTCGCATTGTTAATAATCTTTTTATTTATTTACATTCCTATTTTTTTTCAAAAAGGTAATTTAGTATCTTCAATTCACAAGTAAGTTCAGAACAAAGCTTCAGTGGTATTCTTACATCACCTTTCACAGCTATCAAGAACTTTTCACTTGAAAGTGTTTAGTGGCTTATCTAGGGAGTGGTACGTGTCATGTGCTCCACTCATTAAGCAGCGTCTTTCAACATTCTACATTTGCGAGAAAGGGGTGACAACCGTCTTCCATTGAAGTCAATGGTCCTCTCGTCCTTCTTTATATTTTAATTCCTCTCCCTTTAGTGAATTTTTTACATTTATTGTCATTTATTTTATCATATGACTAACATCTGCAACGTTGTATCGTTTGTTCTTTAATTTAGAATAGAAAACATGAATATCCTTTTTTTTCTGAACCTTGACACGCACGCATGATAATGTTTCTGTCTAGCGGATAAAATAAAAAAAGTTATGCTTGGGCTATCTTCATTTGTATTTTGTGAACATATCTTTTCACTTGAACCGCAAATGGAGAGAAGAAAGAAATAGTCCTGATGATGGTCTAAATTAAATATTTATAAAAAGAAATGTATTGATGTGTTTTTTTCTTATACAGTGCCCTACCGTTTACGTGTGTTGATTTTTTTTTATCGCCTCGTGTCCTCCCTTTTACAAGAACATTGTTGGCACCGATATTGAGAATCGTAAGGCGCTAGCGATAAACTGCTCTCTGAAGGCGGCAGTGCAGTGCCTCGCAGAAAGCAGTACTTGCGTTGCCAAGAGATGGCGCTGGCTGTCTTGTTGGTCGCGCAGCGCTTTCGCGATGAACGGAACTTCATTCTGCTTCTATGTACTCTTTTGGGCACGATACCTATAGTTCTCGCGGAAATACATAATCAGGAGCTGTTTTGCATTTTCTAATATTTTTTTGGTGAGACTTGCAATGCTCAATTCAATTTCAGTGGCAGATGATTAGTGACGAAAATGAGAAGTATGTAATTGTAATTAACGAACCTGGATACTTAATTAAAAGTCGGGAGGGTACAAATACTCTTTTTGTAGAAGTATATACAATAAAAGATGGATTAATGTGAATTGTGAAAATAAATATCCTAATTTTAATAGTTTTTGTAACATTACTATTTTCCTACTATGTTTAAAAGTAATAATCTAGACTCAAATAAGTAGAACTATTTTTGGAATTCGCCGTAGTAGTGCTGAAAATTGTATTAGATAAAAATTTACTCTGTTATTTTCCTTTTATCTACTTAATGGCTTGTTTAAATCAAAAAATTAAAGCTGATATAAAATAAAATAGGAAAGGGCGCTTCTTTCGTCTTACTATTAAGTTTTAAATGTTATTCTCTTCTGTACTCCTTTTAAAAGATCTGAGTTATCGCATTAATAAGTCATTCTGACGTAGTATTTCACCCGACAATAATGCATTAAATGTCCCTGACGACAACTGTATATGATCTTATCAAAGAGAGGGAAATGCTGTGGAATGTGAGAAATTTGCTATGAGATCAACTTGAATATCTTTTCTCTTCCTTGGGGGAATGTAGGAATCTTGTTAGAATGTTTATGGACGTAGTTTGGACCTATTTGGGAACAAGGAACATTATCATTGTCTGAGAAGCTATTTCTCTGACTAGTTCTAGAACACACGTTCTAACGAACAAAATAATGTGTATTGGAAGAATAAATTCTGTAACTCCCTTGGCGTAAACAGGGAACAATTTCTTATTTTCCTAACTTACAACAAAAAGAAAAATGATAATTATTACATTAGCATCGTTTAAACACTTTCCTCGTAACAAACAAAAAAAACCCATCAAATTTACATCTTATCCTTTTCAACATGTGTAAATCTTCAAATCCTTGTTTCGATAACTCCATTACAACGCGCGTCAAATTCTGGCCGTCAAGGCTTTCTAACTCGTCAAGCGTTGCCATTCACCTATTGATTTTTCATCCATTGAGGCCCCCGGGCGAGCTAAGTGAGATTAATGCCGCTACGTAGAGCGTCTGGTCTAAGCGTGTAAATTTCTTTCTCGAAAAAGTCTATAAAAAGGCTGCTCTTCGAAACGCGTCCATCGCTCAGGCCGGGGAGGCGGGGGCGAGGGGGGG